CTACAACTGATGAATGAATCAAGAAAATGTGGTATATATGTACAATAGAGTTTTACTTAGCCATAAGGAATAATGGCATGTGATTTGTAGGTAAATGAATGAATGTTCATTCATGTTAAGTGAATTTAGACAATCTCAGAAAGACAAAGGCCACATGTGGAAGATAGATTCAAACGGTTAACATACAAAAATAAATATGATCTTATAAAAAGTCATACTTAGAACATGTCTGCAATAGCAGAACTACTGTACGGAACATGGGGAAAAAGCATCAGTAATATCATAAAGTATAACATCTGTGAAAGTACAGAATATAAGGATGTGTATTGAAAGCTGTTAAAAATGAGGGGTGGGAGGTAAAAGGGTTGAATGGACCAAAGTGAAGTATATCCATAATAGGGATACATTGAGACACCCCTTTGAACATTAACTCAAATATTAATGGAAAAAAGGACAAAGGACAGTAAAACAGGTACAGTTGTGTGTGTGGGTGCTAGTGACAGGGTGAGGGTGAATGAAAGAGATTAAGATGAGGGTATGTGGTTGATGGACTCCATATACCTGTATGAAACAGAACAAAGAAACCTCTAGCAATTGCTTTAAGTGGGGCAGGGAGGGGGTTGGGAGGACAGATGATGGGTGCAATGTAACAAATGTAGAATATAAGCCTAATCAGAATTGTCATTATGAATCCTCTCCTGTATAATGAATATATCATAGTAAAAAAAGAAAGAAAACAAAAACAGAGTAACAAGTGTGTAAGAGATCATCATCAGTTACCAATTTAGTAGCTTCAAAGCTGAATGCTCCAAACACTGTCTTTCTTTATCCAAGCCTGGCAAGGGTGAAGAGTTGGATGTGGAGAAAGGATGGTTCTGAAGTTCAGGAGGAGTGGAGTTGGAGAGGAGAAATTTCGTGGAGATAACTTTAATTGACGGTGATTACAAATACACACACACAGACACTCTCTCTCTCTCTCTCTCTCTCTCTCTCTCTCTCTCTCTCTCATGCACATATATTTGCTGAAGGACTGTACTGGTATTTGAACTCAAGACTTTACATTTTCTAGGTAGGTGCTCTACCATTGAGACACACTTCCAGCCCACCAAAATACTTAAAAAAAAAGCTACTGAGTGGACCTCTCATGTTCCCAACACAAGGAAAGAATATTTGAGATCTTGGATATTCCAATTACTCTTACCATTACATGTGTTAAAATAGCACATTGTAACCATAGAATAGGAGGAAATCATTGCACACCATGCATCAGGCAAAGGATTAATATCCAGAATATATAAAGAAATTAAGATATAGATCAAATAATCCATTTTATAAATGAGCAATAATTCAGTAGACAATTCTCCAAAGATGAAGTATAAATGGCAAATAAATACATGAACTATGTTTAACGTCCTTAGCCATGAGCAAAATGCAAATTAAAACAACAAATTCCATCTCAACCCAGTTATAATGGCTGTCATCAAGTAAACAACAAATGCGGGTGAGGTGCAGGGAAAAAAGATCTCTTGAACATTGTTGGTGAGTAAAGCCACTATGGAAATCACTATGGTGATTCCTCAAAATCTAAATGTACTGCTATATACTACATGTGGCATATGTCTGAAGGAATGCAAGTCAGCATACAATGGAGACACCTGCACTCCCATGTTTATCGCAGGAATTAATTTACACCAATAAAATATAAAGTGGACTTCAAAAATGAAAAGCTGTAACCAGGCATGGTGGGGCACCCCTGTAATCCCAGCTACTCAGGAAGTGGAGGCAGGAAGATTTTGAGTTGGACAACTGCATCACAAAGATCCTGGAACTTTATATCTCAAACAAAATAGAAACAGAAGGGTTTGGCCATGGATTAATTGGCAGAACACTTGCCTAGCATGCATGAGGTCTTGAGTTCCATTCTTAGTAATGAAACCAAATAATGGTATATACTAAATTAGAAGACATCTATAAGGCAAATCTTCCTAACATAAATTGTGAGAAATCCAACTATTAGTAGAGGAAATACAAATGCAATCAATGAGTTAAGTCATTTGCACACATCATTACACCATTAAAAGTATAAATAAAGGAAATAATATTGACATGTAAAGGTAATGAATGTGTCCATCAGTGTATGAGTTTTTTTCTAGAGGGTTCTTTGGCAGTGGGTTTTATGTTTTCTTTCTTTTGGGATAGGTTGTCACTATGTAACAAGGCTGGCATTGAACTTGAGATTCTCTTCCCTCAGCCTCCCATGTGCTGGGATTGCACATATGCACACCATGCTCAGCTAGTAATATACTTTAAAAGTCTTTATGCTATAGATAGCCTTGAGCCCAGCCATTTTGCTTCCAAGGGTTCATTTGCTTTAGTCAGATTGAAAGGATTTGTTTGCTGTGTTCTATTTTCTATTTCCTGTCTTCCTATTTATAGTAAAAGGAGCAACTAAAAATTGGGGTGAGAATAAAATTCATTACCAGAGGTAAACCATTGACTCAAACCATTTGTTAGGGTGTTATAGTAACAGGTGATTGTAGGTTTTGGAAGTCCAAGTTTGCTCCCCTTAGTCTGTTGCAAGAGCAAAAGTAGATAAGAAGGGAGGTCTTAAAGCATGCTCTACAGCATTATCATTTGCCACATCAATAAAAGGTACCCCATCTCTACCTGACACACTAACAGTACTGAGCTCTTCAACACTTAATAACTACTTATTCAGGGGTAACTTTAGGTCAACTGCCTGATGAACCCCATTCTCTCACAGGTTCAATCTTCCAAGCCCAATTTCTTGTCTATGGAATATCTCTACTGCATTTCACTTACAACTTTAAGTACAGATTCTTTTCACATTATTATTTTTTATGGCTATATTCCTTATATGAGTGATATATTTGATATTTGTTTTTTAGGTTGGCTTACCTTGCTCAAAATGATCTCCAGTTCCATCCATTTTCCTGCAAATGGCATAATTTCATTCTTCTTCATAGCTAAATAATACTCCATTGTGTACATACAAAGCATATTAAATAAATATTTATTTATTTAAACACTGTAGTTAGTACATATAGGATGTACATAGGGTTTCACTGTGACATCTCTATATATACTTACAATGTGCCATGGTTAGGGTTCAAACCCATTTTGCTCTATTAAAATGATTTCAACAGGTTTCATTGTTTGATTTTTATACAAGTATACATTGGCCATATCCACTATGCTTTGTCCTCTCCATTCACCACTGCAACTAGTGCCTACCTCCTAAAAGGAACTGTTTTATATTCCTCTCATTCATTTTTATGTGTATAGTCATTGTTCAAAGGTATTTTGCCCTAGTATTTCCCCTGTGAATATATTGTACATTACTAAGATTAACTCCTTTTACTTTCCCTTACCCTTTCCCTCTTGCCCCCTACTATTCAGCAGCTGTCAGGTGTTTCATCATGCCATCTTCCCACAAAGATGAAATGTATTTCAATATTAGTCACTCTCTATCATTCTCTTTTCTTCTCTCTTCTGTCTCCAGTCCCCTCAAACAGTCCCACTTTTGCAAACAAGTTCTCTTTCTATATACACATATGATCATGTTTGTATTTCTGTATGTGTTTATCTTTTGGAATTATATTCCATATATCAGAGCAAACATTTTACCTTTGTTTCTCTGAACCTGAATACGCTTAACATGATGATCTCTAGTCCCATTCATTTACCTACAAATGCCATAATTTCATGGCTGAATAATATTCCATAGTAGACATATTATATTAAAAAAATATTAGTGTATATTCATGGTACAGGGGATATTCATTGTGACAATTCCAAAAAGGCTTATATTGTACGTTGGTTATATGACCCTCACCATCTCTCCCCCTTGATCCCCACCCTGCCCCACTTAAAGCAATTGCGAGCGGTTTCTTTGTTCAATTTCATATAAGTATATGAAGTCCATCAACCATTTTCCCTCACCTTTATCTCCTTCATTCACCCTCCCCCTCTCATAAATACCCTCCCAGACTATACCTATTTTACAACTCTGTCTTTTGTGATTTATATTTAAGTTGATGTTCAAAGGGTTTCTCAATGTATACTCTCTGTAAGTAAACTTTACTCACGTGTATGCTTTACTCAAAGGGTCCATTCATCCCTTTCTATTAATCTCCCTTACTGCTTTACCTCCCAACTCCCATTTTTAAAAAAGCTTTCAGTACATATCCTTATATCCTGAACCTTCACAGATACTATGTTTTATAACATTTTTGATGCTCTATCATTCTTTTTTCCTTTCCCTCATTCCCCAAGCTCCATAGAGTAGCTCAACTATTACAAATATGGTCTACATATGAGTTTGTACATGATCATTTTGTTTTTGTATATAAGTTTATCTTTTAGATATATCTTCAACATATGAGAGAAAACATGCATCCTGTGTCTTTCTGAGCCTGTCTTAATTCACTTAACATTATGTCCTTCAATTGCATTCATTTACCTTCAAACAATATGTTGTCATTATTCCTGATGCCTGTTGTGTATATATACCACATTTTCTTGATCCATTCATCAGTAGTAGGGTATCTGAGTTGTTTCCACAGTTTGGCAATTGTGAATAATGTTGAGATGAACATTGGTGCACAGGTGTCTCTATTGTATTTTGGCTTACCCTCTTATCCCATCACCTCCTCCCTCCCAATGGTAACAACCCTTCCCCCTGGGCAGGACTTGTTATGTCCTCCTGTTCTCTGTTTTTGTAGAAGAAAAAAAGAGAAAAGAAAATGAAAAACATGACATTTTAGCTTGTTTGAGATAAAGGTAGCTACACAGGGAGTTTCTTTGTGATATTTCCATGTATATGCATATTATAACCCCAATTAGTTTACCTCCTCTAATTTTCTTCATTCAACCTTAGTCCTTTTCTTATGGTAGTTTCAGTCAGTTTAAGACTTCTGGCCCCGCAGGCCAGGACAAGGGCCTATCGGGCGGAGCAGCCAGGCGCCTGTTTAACGGGAGGAACGGCGGAGGATGGAGGTGGTGGTGTTCATCTTCTCTCTCCTCGATTGTTGCGTGCTCATCTTCCTCTCGGTCTACTTCATAATTACATTGTCTGATTTAGAATGTGATTACATTAATGCTAGATCATGTTGCTCAAAATTAAACAAGTGGGTAATTCCAGAATTAATTGGTCATACCATTGTCACTGTGTTAATGCTCATTTCATTGCACTGGTTCATCTTCCATCTCAATTTACCTGTCGCCACTTGGAATATATATCGGTTCATTATGGTTCCAAGTGGTAACATGGGAGTGTTTGATCCAACAGAAATACATAATCAGGGGCAGCTGAAGTCACACATGAAAGAAGCCATGATCAAGCTTGGTTTCCACTTGCTCTGTTTCTTCATGTATCTTTATAGTATGATTTTAGCTTTGATAAATGACTGAAGTTGGAGGAGCCATGGTTGAAGTCAACAATGCACAGTTGAGGAGCCAGACTACTTAAATCATCCTTAGAACCATGACCATAGCAGTATATATATATTTTTTCATCTTTGAACAACAACAACAAAAAACTATTTTTGCTGTATTTTTACCATATAAAGTATTTGAAAAACTTTAAAAAAAAAGACTTCTACATTCATTCTTGAATAGAGAATTCAAGTTGGGATTTTTATAGAGATTGCATTGAATATGTAGATTGCTTTTGGTAGTATGGCCATTTTCACAATGTTGATTCTACCAATCTATGAGCTTGATAGATCTTTACATTTTCTGATGTCTTCTGCAATTTCTGTCTTCTGAGGTTTATAGTGTTCATTGAAAATGTCTTTGGCTTCCTTTACTAAATTTATTCCACTATACTTTATTCTTTTTGAGGCTATTGTAAATGGGATTGTTTCCCTGATTTCTTTCTCAGTCTGTTCATTGTTGATATACAGGAAGGTTACTGATTCTGTATATTAATTTTATATCCTGCTACTTTGCCAAAAGAGTTTAGGATTTCTAATAGTTTTTTGGTAGGGTCTTTTAGGTATAGGATTATGTCATGTGCAAATAGGGATAGTTTTACTTCTTTCTTCTCTACTTGAATCCCTTTTTTTCTTGCTCTTGTCTTACTGCTCTGGTGAGGAATTCCAAAAGTATATTGAATAGGAGTGGGAAAAGAGGGCATCCCTGTCTCATACCTGACTTTAGTGGGAATGGTTTCAGCTGTTCTCCATTAAGTATAATGTTGACTATATGTTTGTCATATATAACCTTTATTATATTGAGGAACATTAATCTATTCCTAATTTCTATAGAACTTTTATCATGAAAGGGTGTTGCCTTTATCAAAAGCTTTTTCTGCATTTATTGAGAGGATCATGTGGTTTTTGTCTTTGCTTCTGTTTATGAACTGTATTACATTTATAGATTTTCCTAGGTTGAGACATACTTTCAGTCCTGAAATGAACTGAACTTGATTACAGCATATGATCTTTTTCATGTGTTGTTGAACTCTGTTGGCCAGTATTTTGTTGAGAATGTTTGCATTTATATTAATTAAAGATATCAATGCCAGATGCTGGCTCCAAACATGCTTGGGAGACACCATCAACAGGTAAGCAAATAAGTGGCATGTGGTAGTCTCGTGGCTACCCCTGGGATAAACCAGCATAGTCCCCTGGACAGACTGACCCTTTCCCCACACAAAAAAAAACTGAGTAATAAACAATGAACTGAAAAGGATACACAATAGAGAGGGCGTTGCTTTAAGTGCACTGGAAAGTGGGAGGAGCAAGGAGCTGATCTTCACAGGAACATTCAGTAAACAAAGCCTGCAAAGTAGACAGCAGACAAGCCTCTGCACCAGAGAAGGGGGAAGGGGCAAATAGCTGGACTCTGTGCACGAACTGTTAGTAAACAAAGCCTGAATGGAAGATGGCTGACAGTAGGTGGGTGATGAGCAGCTGCCTGACATAGGGCAGATAGTGGTCCACAAAGCTAGTCTCCAGACTCAACCACCTGGTGAGACTACGATAGAGCTACTGCTTAACTACCAACACCAGGACTGATTGCTGAAGGAGTAACACCAGGACTACTAAGACTGAAATTCTATTGTTCCTGAACCTGGAATTTTTTTTCTTTCTCTCTAAGTGTTTGTCTTGTTCACTGTTTGTTAGTCCCCCATCTCTCCCTGTTGATTTCTTTGGCTCTCTATTTTGTTTTCTTTTCTTTCTTTTTCTTTTTTTCTCTTTCTTTTTTGGTTTCATTAGTTTTACTACTGTAAGTTAGCTAATACTAAATTACACACAGAACAGGGACAGAAACAGAACCAAGTGGAACAATGGGAAGACAAAAAGAATGTGAACCATTCACTTTCAAAAATAAATTGTTACAGGATTCAGAGGGAAATGAAGAAAATGGATACTCAGTTCAGGACTCCAACAAAACAAAGATAAACTATCCTAAGGAACCCAATGAAGCCTACAAAAACACCCTGAAAGAAGAAATCCTGCAAGAACTTACTGAGAATTTCATGGAGATGTGACTAGACAAGGTCAACCAAAATGTACAGGAGGCACTCAAGAAATTCCAAGAAAACAAAAATAAAGAATATGAGAAAACAGACAAACAAATAAGTGAACTCATACGATCCCTAAATAAATATCAAATTGAAACAGAGAACAGCATAAATAGAGAGATAAATGAATTAAGGACAAAAATTGGCAATATTAAAGAGGAAGTGACACATGTTATGGAAAACCTCAGAAAAAAGAATGAAACAGAAATACAAAATACAATGGAAGTTCTCTCCAGCACATTAGAACAAGCAGAAGACAGAATCTCAGAAATTGAAGATGAAATGGAAATTAAAGGAAAAACTGAAGAATTGTTAGACAGACAACTCAAGACCTGGGAAAGGAATATGCAAGAACTCACCAACTCCATCAGAAGACCAAACCTGAGAATCATGGGCATTGAAGAAAGAGATAGGTGCAAGAAAAAGGGATTCATAATATATTCAACAAAATAATAACAGAAGTTTTCCCATATCTAGAAAAACTATGCCCAACAGGTACAGGAAGCATCCAGGACACCAAACAGACTTGACCAAAATAGAAGGACCCCATGACGTATTACCATTAAAACAATAAGCACAGAGAATAGAGAAAGAATATTGAAGGGTATAAGAGAGAAAAACCAAATAACATACAAAGGTAAACCCACCAAAAGCACAGCAGATTTCTCAATGGAAACCTTAAAAGAAAGAAGAGTGTGGAGTGAGGTCTTCTGGGCACTGAATGAAAATAACCTCAACCATAGGATATTCTACCCAGCAAAGCTATCATTCAAGATACATGGAGCAATAAAAGTCTTCCATGCTAAGCAGAAACTATAACAATATATGACCACCAAACCACCACTACAAAAGATTCTCCAAGGAATTCTGCACACAGAAAATGAAAGCATACAAAACCATGAAAGGACAGGCAGTACCAAACCACAAGAGAAGAAAAAGCAAGAAAGTAGAGAGTAACATTGATTCATCTGCACACAGTCAAACCCTTAAGCAACAAAGACAACTAAATGACAGGAATCACCACATACCTATCAATACTAACACTGAATGATAATGGACTTACTCACCCATCAAAATACACCATTTGCCACACAGGATTAAAAAGGAAGATCCAACAATCTGTTGCTTACAGGAGACCCATCTCATTGACAGAAACAAGCACTGGCCTAAGGTGAAAGCCTGGAAGAAGATTTACCAAGCCAATGCCTCCCAAAACAAGCAGGAGTAGCAATACTTGTCTCAGACAAGGTAGACTTCAAACCTACATTGACCAAATGTGATGAAGAAGGACACTCCATACTAATAAAAGGGGAAATGCACCAAAAGGAAGTAATAACTATCAACACATATGCACCCAACATCAATGCACCCAATTTCATCAAACATACTCTGAAGGACCTAAAAACATATAAACTCCAACATAGTCATAGTAGGAGGCTTTAATACCCCCTATCACCAATAGATAAGTCATCCAAACAATCAATAAAGAAATCCTATATGTAAAGCACACCATAGATTAAATGGACCTAGCTGCTGTCTACAGAATGTTTCATCCAACTTCTGCACAATATTCATACTTCTCAGCAGCCCATGGAAGCTTCTCCAAAATTGATCATATCTTAGGGCACAAAGCAATCCTCAGCAAATATAAGAAAATAGAAATAATCCCATGCATTGTATCTGATCACAATGTGTTGAAACTAGAACTCAACAGCAAAAACAACAGTAAAAAACATGCAAACAGTTGGAAGTTGAACAAACATTGCTAAGTGATCCATTGGTCATTGATAAAATAAAAGGAAATTAAAAGGTTCCTGTAAGTTAATGAAAATAAACACGACCTATTGGAACTGGAAGACATCATTCTGAGCGAGGTTAACCAGACTCTGAAGACCAAAAATCATATGTTCTCCCTCATATGAGGACTTTAGATCTAGAGCAAATACAGAAATGTGGTTGGACTTGGGTCACATGATAAAGGGAGAGCACACATGGGAGGTATGGGGATAGGCAAGAAACCCAAAACATGGAAGTGCTTGATGTCCCCACTGCAGAGGAACTAATATAGAAAACTTAAAGTGACAGAGGTCAATATGAGAAGGGGATAAGAAACTAGTGAAGAGGTCAGTTAGAGATGAATCAACTTGGAATGTAATACATTTGTACATGGAAGCAATGCTAGGAATCTCTCTGTATAGTTATAGTTATCTCAACTAGTAAAAACGCTTAGTCTTTTTTTTTAATTTTTATTTTATTCATATGCGCATACAATGTTTGGGTCATTTCTACCCCCTTCCCCCCGCCCCTTCCCTTATTCCCCCTTTCCCCCACCCTTATCTCTAATTTTGTTGGAGAGAGAATATAAGCAATAATAGGAAGGACCAAGGGTTTTTGCTAGTTGAGATAAGGATAGCTATACAGGGAGTTGACTCGCATTGCTTTCCTGTGTATGTGTGTTACCTTCTAAGTTAATTCTTCTTGAACTAACCTTTTCTCTAGTTCCTGGTCCCCTTCTCCTATTGGCCTCAGTTGCTTTAAAGTATCTGCTTTAGTTTCTCTGCATTGGGGGCAACAAATGCTAGTTAATTTCTTACATGTCTTACCTATCCTCATATCTCTCTTGTGTGTGCTCACTTTATTATATGATCAAAGTCCAACCCCCTTGTTGTGTTTGCCCTTGATCTAATGTCCACATATGAGGGAGAACATATGATTTTTGGTCTTTTGGGCCAGGCTAACCTCACTCAGAATGATATTCTCCAATTCCATCTGTTTACCTGCGAATGATAACATTTTGTTCTTCTTCATGGCTGCATAGAATTCCATAGTCTTTCTTATTGCTTACGTTTTCTCTTCAACAAAATTAGAGATAGGGGCAGAAACAGAAAGAGTCTGCCTGGAAGCAAGGGGGTGTGGGGGGAGAGGGAGGGAGTTAAGTAAGGGGGAGAAATGGCCCAAATAATGTATGCACATGTGAATAAATGAATAAAAAATAGCAAAAACAAAAAAAAGATATCAGTATGCAATTCTCTTTTTTTGTTGCATCTTTAT